TTTTTTAAGATTAAATGATTTTTATTTTTCAAAAATTTTGACTATATAATAATGTAAAAATTCTAAGAAGAAATGGTTTTATTTTTATTAAAATGGAATGGAACATATGCTCTTCATATTATATTCATAACATCATTATTCTAAATAACTCACCCTCTCTCTTTGTATTAAAAAATAATAATTTGAAAAATATAGAATACATTTTAGCTTAAAAATTTTAATTGCTACATCACTACGCTTATAACCAAAAATTAATTAAAATGAATCCAGAAAAATAAAAGGTTCTATCTAAAAAAAATCGTTTCCCATTTATAAATAATGAAGAATTGGCATTGGCATTGGCAAATAAACATTTATAAAACAACATATTAAGAAATATTTCCCCACCAGCCCCTAAATTGCATGCCGCATCATTATTTTACTAATGGAGAAATTATATTTATGGGAATTAAGATAAAAATTTAAGAAAGAAAAAAGAGTTAAAAAATTGAATTCAAATTTTCTTTTTATTTTGTAACAAATTAATTGTATAATATTCGTGTTTTAATATTTTTTTAAATTTTAAATCAAATTATAAAATTGTGTGTTCTATATTATCTACTTAAATTATATAGAACAATAAATATATTTCTGACTCTAAAAAGATTCGAATATTCAAAAAAATATTTCTTTTTAAAATAAACTTTATTTGAAATTTAATTTGAAAGATCCTATCCTCACTAAATATTATCAGCATCACCAATTAAGCTAAAAGCAGTGTTATTAAAAACCTCGATTTCACAGATTTTTTAAAAAATGGCTAAATCATTCTATAACAACATTACTTAAGTTTCGATATTTCACAAAATGATGAGAAAGGGGTTTGGACCTCTTTTGGAAAATCCCGAAACAAATCGAGGCTCTCGATAATACTGGTTTAAAGTAAACAATTAATACTGCTGTAAAAGGCTTTTGATTAATATAAAATATTATATTACTCTTAATAAAAGAAAAGAAATACTGTCTCATCTCATTAAACAATAAAACTAATGCATAGATAATTTATTAGGACTTTTATTTAATTTTTTTTTCTATGAATGAAGGAATGAAAAAAATGAAAATAAAAAAAACTAAATCAATAATTTTTTTACCTTGACAAATTTATTTGAATTGTTTTTTTGTTTTTTATATCTTTTTTTTTATTAATGTAGAGTGAAATATATATATGTGAAAATTTGTTGGGTGATTTTTTTTTTACCATTTTTAATTTTTTGTTCTTTCATAATTAATATTATACAAATAATGACTAGTTCTGTAACCTAATATCGGGATGGTGTCAACTGTCAAGTGAGTGAAAAATATGAGGAATAAAAATAAAACAAAAAAAAAAGGAAAATGTTTATTATTATTAAAAAATCATATTTATTTGTATTTATCTAATTTTGCATTTTATTAGAATATTACATGAAAATGAATTCCATAATTTATTTTCTTTTTTAATTTAAAATAAAAAAAATCCGAAAATCTTGAATTGGTAGAAATTAGTAATTATTAATTAGAATAGAAATTTAATTATTATTATAATATATAATAAAAATCTTAAAATTTAAAATATAATAAATATAAATTAAAAAAAAAATTCAATTTATTCTTCAAAATTACCTTTAAACACGGAACTAAATTATGAATTGTGCGTTGAGCCGTAAGAAAACTGATTTTGCTAGTAGGTGATAATCGATAGGAGAAATTTTTGAGACTTGCAAAGATATGAGTGATTGGAACGAAATGCTAAGGGGAAGATAAGTAAAGTATAAGATTCATAAGACCCTTGTGATTAAATATCTCATGTTTCGCGATAATAATATTGTAAATCTTAAAAATAAAAATTTAATCTTTGATAAAATACATTTTTTGAATAATTTGTATTTATAATATATAGAATTATAAAATTAAAATGTAATTATTCTCTAAAATATTATTTTTTTTTTGTATATTTGTTTAGTTATACAAACAATTTTATTTTTATTTTAATATACTTTATTTTTATTTTATTTTATATTTGTGAAGATTTTTAACAGAAATTCCAAATATGTAATATCAATTTACATAATATTTTTTTAATACCGAGTTTGTAGTTAAACCCCTTTAAATATATATTTTTTAAATTATACATATTTTATTAAATTAAAACTTGATGAAATAGTTAAATAACTAATTCGTTAAGTGAAATAAAGTATAAAACAAATAAATTGGGTCTGGGTTAAAACTTTAAGCTCAAGTTAGTGAATATAAGTTTTATACTTGATTTTTTTTTAAAGTATTTTTTAAATATTTGTTATGATGCAGATATCGAAAACTATTTTGAGTTATAAAGATTTTTTTCTTGTTGCTATATATTATTCTAAAGATACGTAATACGAAATAGCAAGCCCGATTCTATGCTTACTTTCCCCCAAAATTTTAAATTGCTCCTCCCCCCAATGTATTGGAAATATCTGCTGTTCACACCACTACTGCTGTTCAAACCACTATTGGTTTAAAATAAATTATCTATTCATGTCGGCTAAATTACTTAATACCGCCAACACACCACATATTGTAATGAGAAAGGAGAAAGTGTAAATATAGTTAATTTGGTAAAAGAATGCAAATGATCAAGTTGCCAAGATTCAGAATAAGAAAAATGAGCTTGAGCTTTCAAAAACAAAATGGATAGATTAGATCTTAAAGTAATTCTTATTGCATATATTTTACAACAGATTTAAATCAGGTATCACCAAATCAATATCTTGTGGTGTTAAAAAGCCCAATTTTGATCGATCGATCAAAATAATAACCAAAATAAAATTATGTAAGTCTGTAGATTTTGCTCATAATGGCGGAAAGGTTTAGACATCGGTATCCCAAATGACGAGGCCTACATAATATTATTTTGCTAATATCTCAATCTTTTTTTCCCAATTTTTTTGTATAAACTAATTAATAAATTTAAATAAAATTGAAATCAAGTTAGCCATTTTAATTTTGTATAAAAAAATTAAAACCTTTATTGCAACCAATATTACTGAAGAGGGATTGGTAATTGAAATTGAGATTGGTAAAAAATTATTCTAAGATTTTAGGAAATTTGTGTTACATCAGATTTTGTCAAATTTCTATACCCATACAAAAATGCATTTCCAAATGTTTTTCAAATATTCTGTATCAGTTTAGATCATACACATCTTTTCATCATTAAAGAGATTTATTGATAAGATAAACATTCGCTTGATTTCATTAGGTCATGGAAAAGATATAACCTATTAATTTTGGAAATGTTTTCAAGGTATATAAAAATACATCCCAACTAAAATTATATTGTAAATGCTTATTTTGTTAGTTTTACCCTGTTCACATTGACATAATACCAATTACATAGTTTTAAATATTTTCTAAATTACATATTTTTTATGATTGAATCCCTAACAAATATTATACAAGCACAGTTAAACTATTTCAACATTGTTAAATATTTACATGCTAATCAACTTATTTCTTTCCAGTTATAAGTCAATTCTTAACTTCCATCTAATTTTACAAAAATATTTGATCATTGTATATTTTAATATGTAGTATTTTTCAAATAAAATCGTGTATTTCAATTTTGTGTTCAAATAATATTCGTTCTATGGTGTTAAAAAATTTGTTTAACTACCTTTCTCCATTTTTGTTTGCCCCCCCCCCCTAATGGGTGAAACTAGAGTCGGGCCTGTAAAATGGTATAAAAATTTATTATTGTCTGTTTAAAATACCATATACACTTTTATAAGAGATTTATGTAAAACGAAAAAATTATTTTAAAGAATTAACGGAAAAAATTGGGAAAAAAATTAAAGAAAATTTAAAAAAAATAGTGGAAAAAAAATACGAATAAAAAACAATGCCACTAATATTGAGGGAACAATGAAATTTTTTTTAAAATCTACCTTAGGCCACTTCCAAACACGACGTTTTTTCAAAGCGATAAATAACAAATTAAGCTTAATAGATGTGTGCTTCCAAACCAAACGATTTTTTCATGCATACGATTTTGCGATTATTTTAATAACAAACTAGCTTGATTTTTTTTAACGATTAAATGGCGTCTGATACAATTGAAATGAAAAAGTAATTTTTTTTAACGTTAATATTCAATAAATGAAATGATTTTAGAGGAAATTTTGTATCTGAATTGATAAATTTTGTAGATGATCATGACGATTTATGGAACCAATCTAATGATAATTATTTTAATAGATTATTAGTAGATGAACTATGGACTTTATGTGCTAAAAAGTAGAACAAGACTTTATATTGAAAATATTGACTATTTTATAATAATAATTTTTAATTAACAGACTTTTTAATTAGATACTATTTATTAGTAAGCATGGAATATGAATTTTAATAATTTATATCTTTATTTAAATAAAATTATTTTTTATCCTTTATTATTTACCAGGCTTGATTCATCCCCAAATGTCTGTAAATTAAAATGGAAGAATTTGAGGGATTCTTATTTAAAGGAAAAGAGAAAGAGAGAAGAAGTGCATTCAGGGGATGCTGCTAAAGCTAGCACTCCATGTAAATGGTATGATTCACTATCATTTCTTACTACTTCCACCACACCAAGAAAGACACTAAATAATATCACAGATAATATAGAGAATGTATGACCTGTAAAAAGGGCTAGAGTAACAAAAGACCCAATGGAAAGATATTTTGACAAAATGTTAGAAATTGATAATGACCCAAATAGATTATGGTGCCTGTCTTTGGTTGATAATGTAAAGAAGGTGCCAAATGAAGTTAAGGAGGCCATGAAAATTAATGTGCAAACTCTTATTTATAATTTTATAAATAATATTATAGTAGAAAATGTTGATGTTTAAATAGTTATGTATTATATACACATACAAAAGTAATTTATTAATTTATATACACATACAAAAGTAATTTATTTATTTAATATATAATGATAAAATGTTAAATTAAACATATATTTAAGAATTAAAATAGTCTTTAAATAATTCTCTAATTTCTCTTGAATTAGAACTTGAAGCATTTAAAGATCTACTGATCCCTAAATTTTCGGTAATAGGTAAAATATTAGGTGTATATTCTTTTTTATCATAATCAATAATAATATTATGTAAAAGTGTAATTGTAGATATAATTTTATCAGCATTTTCAACTGAACACTCTATAGCTTTAGAAAGTAGGGCAAATTTAGCAGTAGCTATGCCAAATGTGCATTCAATGCACATTCTAGCACTACTTAATTTATAATTATAATATTTTTTTCTTCTGGGCTGGTATTCTTCGTAGGATAAGGTTTCATTAGATAATTTTTTATTGGGAAGGCTAGATCAGCAATAATTACATGTGGAGCAATGATATTATTTGGCATAGGTTTAGGGGGAGGAATATAAAGTGTTTGACTTTCTAATTCTAAAATAATTAAAAATTATTTATTAACGTTAAAAATTTACTTAGTTTGATATAAACTACTATTTCTGAAAGTGCCACCATCACTTTGTTTCCCATAAGATCCTACATCTATATATATAAATTTGCAATTACTATCTGCTAAACCAAGTAACACTATAGATTTGAAAGCTTTATAATTATAAAAAAGGGTTCCAGATTTTGCAGGACTTTTTATTCTTATGTGCTTACCATCCAATGAGCCAAGGCAGTTTGGAAATCCATGTTTTTCAAAATATTCTTGGGCAATCTAAAAATATATTTATATCTAAATTTATAATACCTTCTCCCAATGTTCTCTAGTTGGAATTGGCATATGAATATCTTTTAAAGTTTTCCATATAGCATCACATACCTCTGGAATGTTAGTAGCAATGCAACTTTTGCTTATTCTGCTACTATAAGATAGTTGTGAATAATTAAGGCCCGTTCTTAAGTATCTTAAATGTTGTATATATATTAATAACTAAATATATTACCTTAAAGTAACAAATAATCTGTTTTCAGGAGATATTGTTGTTTTTGCATTTGTTTGTTTATGTATAATTTTAGTTTCAATTTTGTTAAGTATATAATAGTAAACATTCCTAGATAATCCAAGATAGTGAAAGAATTGCGAATCATTTAAATTCTCATTTAAATTGATATAGATCATATACAGATCTCTTTCTTTATAAATTATACTTACTTTTCGTTTTTTTTTATAATGTCTCATAATAAAATATCTAGTTATAAAAATCATTTTTAAAAAATCAGCTGTAAAATATAAATCGTTGCTGTTTGGAAGTAAAAAATATTGCGAAAAACGTGCCTCGGAAAAAGTTTTGAAAAAACGTCGTGCTTGGAAGTGGCCTTAGCTTTTTTTATATTATAAAAAAACTTTATTTTTCAAAATATGCAAAAATTTTATAGAATATTTCGGTAATGGTTGAGTGAGAATGTTCAATAAGCCATGAATATGGAAATAATTTTTAAAAATTGATATAATTTTATAAATAAAATTTTATTAATTCTTTTTAAATAACAAATATATCAGTTAATTTAATATTTAATTTCTATTTATTTACTCTTTACTTAAAATATGCTTGGATACAAATCTCATCATATATATGCCAACTTTTTATTGCTGAATAAAAGTAAAAATATTGGAAATTATGTGAATGTAAATTTTGCTCAAAACACATTTCTTCTTCAAGTGGTAGCAGGCTAAAGATAAACTGTCTAAGAATGATAAATGCTCGCTCGAGCAAAAAATGATGATATTTTACTTCTAACATTAACAGAACATGCTCCGACCACCTAAAATTTTGTTCACAAGATTCAAATCTATTTCTATTTTAATGAAGGAATGTTCATGAATACTTGATTATTTATTATTTATATTGTTAAATTTATTGTATTTTAAAATTTTATTTAAATGATTGTGAAATAAAAAATTTGCAATAAAATTTTTTTTCAAAACTGTGGAAAGAAATTAATTACCTGCGTAAGTAAAGAATTATTAGGACTCAGTTTCTCTCTAGTAGAAATTATTTGGGGAGGTTTATGATATTTAAACCTAACCAAATTACGGGAATATCAAATCCTTATGACTTCCAAAGCCTTTCAAATCTGCCGCTATGACCATTTCCCTATTTGCTGATTTGGACAATAATTCCTCTAATTTTAGAATAAGATCTCCTTTTAATATTAAATCACTATAGCATAGTATAACGGCCATTATCTTATCCTTAATCACAACAGACTTAATACAATACAAGAACACCAGCACCATTTCTATGGCTAAATCTTAATTGAAGCGTATATGCACATTTTATTTTAATTTGCAAATTGTTTGTTGAATGACACTAAATCGCACATACGCTTCAATTAAGACTAAATCTTTGACTTTCGAATCTAATATTAGAGTTCATAGTCATATCCATTATATTATCGTTAAATCTTTTCATGTCTTGCGCAGGTAATATCAACCTTCCTACTTTTCAATAAATCAGACGATTTCCTATTCTCTCTCGATAAGTTTTTCCCATCTAAAGGACCCTGTTCTCTCATTATGGATAGTATAAACCAAACAATTACTCTATTTTGGTTTTTTTCATTTCAGCTATTCTATAATTTCGATAAATTTATATTAACTAAAGGGAAGCATTGTTATAAGAAAGCACAATTCATGTTTAATTCTTTAGCATTTTGCGCAGATAATTGTCTGTAAATTTTGGAGAAATTTAAACTATTTACAGAATTATATAACACAATAAAAATTAAATACTCAATCAAAGATGATTTTTTGTATATAGTATAATAAAAATGTTTTAAAGAAGAACCCAGTTTGGAATTGAGAATAATCTAGATATACCATAAAATTTAATTAGCATTCGGAAAAAGGAACATTATAATAATCAAATTTGAAAATACATTATAAAATAAATATATTATTTAATTTATATCATTAGATAATAATAAATTTGAAAATATATTTCCATATATAAATAAAACTTAATATAGTGAATGAATTCTTATCTCAGCAGAGAATATGAAACTGATGTAAGATAGAATTATATTAATTGGCATTCTTCGTCTAAGGTAGAAGCCTTTATTTGCATTATCGGTTTTCGATGTAATGTGATGCGATCCTTAAAGAAGGCTAGAGCGTGATGGCCAAAAGAGTGTTGTAGCAATTATTGGTGTGAATAAATGTTTGGGAGAAAAAGAAGAATATTTGGAAGATTTCATAGTTTTAGTTGGCAGGAGCGAGTGGGTATACACAGAAAAATTGAGATTAAGAATTTACCACTCTTCCATGGAATCTTGGACAAATTATCAAGACATTTATCATATGCATTACAAAGTCTAGTTGTCTCAAGGTCTTAAGGAATTCCAGCAGATTTCAAGGCACGAGATATAGTGTCATAACATTTTGTATGTCTTAGGAATCTACTTCTAAATCGTTTTCAATGTAATGAGAGGCAACAGTGACAACCTGGCCGGGGTAGGAGACAAATGCCTCCAAAATATATTGGCATTTTAGGGGGGTAGATATTAATTTTTGGGAGGTAGGCATTAATTTATGATGGGTAGGTATTGATTTTTGAGAGGTAGTTTATCACTTGAATTATATTCTTTTTGGATCCAATAATTGATATGATATGCTGTTTATCGTAGATTTTATTCAGACAAATCAAATAAAAAGAGATCTATCTATTAACAAAACTAAATTCTATTTGAATTTTAAGCCTTTTTATTTATTTATCATATTATTTTGCAATTTTACACGTAAAATATTAATATTATGCTTATTTGATAATTTTCTAATAGAGGTTAATAATATATAATATATTTTAATAATAAATTTCAATTCCTATATATCAGTTAAGAATATAATAAATCATTTAAAATTTTAACAAGATCTTCAATAGGTAAGCAAATTTTAACTATATTCTTTATTTAATAATTAGCAAACATCCAAAGTAGAATTGACGATTCCCAAATTATATTTTATTCTCATTCAATGATCAATCCCAATTGAGACCCAAGCGGTTTTAATAAAAAATATGACTAAAATTTAAAATATATATAATTTATTTATTTTTTATTGAATCCCAAAATTAATAACATTTCCTTACTGTCATCTCACCTAATGCGCGTCGATCAGAAAGTATAATCTATCATCAAATAATCCTTCAACCCTAGCACTTGAGGACAATGCAATATTAAATTTAATATATATGTTTTTTTTATATAAGAAAAATCTTCAAAAATTTTCTTGTGATTATTTTTAGATTTAAAAAAATGCGTCCAAAAGATTTTTAAAAATATTATTTATTTCAAAAAAATCATTGATAGCAGGTGCCTTTTTGATGTGTCTAAAATTATAATAGTAATAGTTAAAAATAAATTATGTAGGGGATAAGTGGCATAAATGGTCATGCTTGCTGACTGTCAAGGTCAACATCCTTTAACTTTTTATCTAACACTAAAATTGTTTAAAATCTGAAAGGATTGAAATAAGTATTTTTTTAGCATGTTTTGATAAAATTTATAGATGAGTGGTTTTTAAACAAGTTTAACAATCAGATAATAATTTATAAAATATTGAGTCTGATGAAAAAATGAAAATTTAATATTAACTATTTACTATTTATTATTTTTATTTTATAATATATGTAATTGTTGAATAATATCTCATGGCCAGTTAAAACATACCATGTTTGAACTGGGCCAAAAAATATTTTCAAATAAACTCATCCTGTTCAAAAACTATTATAGATACAGTTTCATTCAAATTTTATTTTAAAAATTAAAGACTGAGCTGTACACATTGATAAATTTGTTTGATATTACTTTCATTCCTTGTTGATGATATTAGTCTTGTTTAATGATAAAACCTTCAAGTATACAATAAATTTACTAATTCAAAAGTAAGGCGCTAAAGCTACTGCTACTAAAAAACGCGCGCTAAAGCTACTGAAAAAACGCGCTATATTACTTTAACAACACTGATTATAACCAACAAAAAATTAATTGAGTTTTCTAGCTTAAATAGGCCTGTAAATAAAATTTTATTATGAGATTATAAATGATAGCTAGTTATAAGATTCTTTTTATTAATATCACTATAGCATCGGGGTTTGGCAAATATCGCGGTCGAAGGCCACGGAATTTTTTAGGGGGTTGGGGTAGATTTTGTAGGGGGGGGGTTGGCTCCATCAAATTTTCTTCCATGTAGACGTTGTGTGGCAACCTCTCGAGTCAACAAGAGTCTGACAAAATGAACATGAGTATAGTATAACCATGTCATAATTATGTCTGAGTTCGATGGCATGTCGTGGCTCATCATTTGTGTTTTTTTATATTTGAATATATGATTTTTCCGTTGTCGATAATGTATTCTAATTTGTATAAAATATCAATCCTATAAATTTCAGATAATTTAATAATTAACTATTGAGTTATTTCTAATTTATATTCTAAAACTAGGGTTTGGTAAGAAGTAAATGCTTGTATCCGAAATACGATACAAGATATTTTTATATCTAGTATTATTTAAGTGAAATTAAAAAAGTTTGCACTTGTACCCTAAATACTTTTTAAAAATGAGTATAAGTGTATCTTTGACTATATAATATAATATATATAATTTTTCATTATTTTTTGATATATTTGAATGTTTATTTAATTTAAATAGTCAAATATAAATCCGAGTTAGCTATTACCAATAATTATCAACATCTTAATGATATCTTTCTCAATTATTAATTTGTTAAAATCTTTAAGGATTATAATCTTCTGCTTCAATGCAACATCAGTAATAGTCTAAAAGATAATTCTAAGGAATATACTAATGCAATATATCTCTTAGCAATATCTATTGATAAGCTGCAGGGCAAAAATAATTGTTATATGGAATTTTATACCAATTTTATTTACTATAAAAGAAGTATACTTGATTTATTTCAAACTAACTATGTTTTTGCCTACCACTTGTTTTGGCTATCGAAATTGGATTAAATAAAAGATTTGAAAATATTTTTAATTTTAATTATGAATATAAATTGGCTTGTTAGTTACCATTTTAAAGCCTTATTTTAAAATTAAATGGATTGATGTTGTTCAATTAAGCACATTTTAAGGACAAGGTTAATGCATTTGACCAACCTACATATCCAGTCTCTTTATTGGTGACAATAATTATTAATAATATACCATCTAAAAATAAAGAGGCCAATGAAATTAAACTGGAAATACTAAATCATATTAAAGAAGATTGAAATATAAGTACATCAAAATTTTCTTTATTAAATATAACACTATTTTGCCCTCTTCACTTCCAGTTAAACTGCTATTTAGCTTTGCAAACCTTGTCAATAAGCAAAATAGGGATTTGAATTAATTATACTAAAAAATAATGATTATTTATAAAAAATTTTAATGTATTTATAGGATTTTTTTTATATGAATTACCACATACTCCTCATAAATTACTTTTATAAAATTTATAAACAAATTTTTTAATATAAAATCATAATTGTAATATACACATTAGAGGTGAAATGGGCGGGTTTTTAGGCAGCCTGACAACGTCCGCCCATATTTTGGACGAGCGTGTTCAGGTTTTCTAAAATAGTTCATTAGATGGGAAGAGAGGTAATGAGCGCCAGGGTTTAATTTTTAATATTATCCTCGTAAAATGACCAGAACAGAATTTAATTTATTATAGATAGTTTTATTTAATAATATTTTATTATAGTGTTTAATTAAAAATTCACTAAAATAAATAAATAAAGAATCTCTATATTACACATTATACATCTTATATGAAAAATATATTATGAAATAAATATAAATAAGGTATTTTATTTAGTATTATGTTTTAATTTGTTTAGCACAATGTCCAAAAATATAAGGTTTCATATTATGTCATTTTAAAATATCTTTTTGAAGTTTTTTTTTCAATTTTTTTTAACAATTATCTATATCTGGTATTTTATTGAACTTTCAATATTTGTATCGTAAAATTAAAAATTTCTACACTTCTGACTAAAACTATATTATAATTATAACGGATTGAGGGAAATAGTCTCATTACGCTCATTGCCGAATTGTTTGATTCAATATTTCTTCAGAATTAGTAAGATAATTGCGAATTTAGCATAAGATATGTTAATAACTACAGTGGTCTGAACTGAATCGGGATAAGCAGAATATTTACGATACAATAATATAGTTAACTTTCAACCCCCATATGTTTACTGAAAATATGGTTTCAGTAGTATTAAAATATCTTCTAC